GACCTGTAGTCCCACTCAGCTAGAGAGCCCAAATCTACCTATGAGGCTGGCACTTCATGCTGGGATCTATAGTCCCTATCAGCTAGAAAGCCCATCTGCTAGTCTCTGTACTTCATGGCTGGCATGGCATGTTTGGGACTTTTAGTCTTATTCAAGTGGAGGTCCTCAGTCCGACTTCATCTATACTACAAGACAGGCATGGTATGCTGGGACCTGTAGTCCCTTCTAGCTGGAGTTTCCCAGTCTGCTTCTCTCTAAAGTAAGCATGGTATGTTGGGACTTGTAATCTAACCCAGGGTGGAGGTCCCCAGCCTGCCTTCCTCTTCACTGAGGCTAGTACAGTATGCTGGGACTTGTAGTCTAAACCAGGTGGAGGTCCCCAGTCTGGCTTCCTCTGTACTATGAGGCTGGCATTGATTGCTGGGGTTTGTAGTCCCACCAAGGTGGAGGTTTCCAGTCTGCCTTCCTCTGTACTATGCGACTGGTATGGTATACTGGGACCTGTAGTCCCACCCAAGTGGAGTTCCCGGTCTGCCTTCCTCTGCTAGTCCCCTTGCTGTCAGTCTAAGCTGTCTCTGGCAGTGTCTGTCTTGCTCCTCCACTTCAGTTAATATTAACTAGTAACTGACACATTAAACAAATATTTTGAAACTTTAACTGTCATTAAGAGAAAACTTTACATAGTAGATAGAGCAGCGAGGCGGCTCCCGACACTGGCCAGGAATGAGCTGAACATGACATTATTACATGTAAGAGTCAACAGAGAGCCATGCCCAGGGAGCTGGGGGCAGACTTCCTTCCAGGACCACTCCAGACTAGGACACCAGCCTGGAAGGGAAACTGTGCTAGCCTTCCAGGGAAGATAGCCAGTCTGTAACAGCATCCAGCCTGGAAAGGACCTGTGCTGGCCTTCCAAGGAAGATAGCCAGTCTGCAACAGCATCCAGCCTGGAAGGGAACCTGTGCTGGCCTTCCAGGGAAGATAGCCAGTCTGCAACAGCATCCAGCCTGGAAGGAAACCTGTGCTGGCCTTCCAGGGAAGATAGCCAGTCTGCAACAGCATCCAGCCTGGAAGAAATCCTGTGCTGGCCTTCTAGGGAAGATAGCCAGTCTGCAACAGCATCCAGCCTGGAAGGGAACCTGTGTTGGCCTTCTAGGGAAGATAGCCAGCCTGCAACAGCATCCAGCCTGGAAGAAATCCTGTGCTGGCCTTCTAGGGAAGATAGCCAGTCTGCAACAGCATCTAGCCTGGAAGGGAACCTGTGTTGGCCTTCTAGGGAAGATAGCCAGTCTGCAACAGCATCCAGCCTCGAAGGGAACTGACTGTGCTGACCTTCCATGGAAGATAATCAGTCTGCAACAGCATCCAGCCTGGAAGGGAACCTGTGCTGACCTTCCATGGAAGATAATCAGTCTGCAACAGCATCCAGCCTGGAAGGGAACCTGTGTTGGCCTTCCAGGAAAGATAGCCAGTCCGCAACAGCATGCAACCTGGAAGGGAACCTGTGCTGGCCTTCCAGGGAAGTTGTCGGAGGGTCAGAAGTTCACCTGCAACCACATGATTGTAATCAGAGGGACAGTATTTGGAAGTACAGCCCCACAATGGGAATCCTGAGACCTGACAATCCGCAATTTACTCCTTTAGATTTATTCCTTAGTTGCTTCTTTGTATTTAATTCTTACGAAGTTCTTTCTTTCTTTCTTTCATTTACTCTTTCTATTATTTGTTACATATTTTTTTGTGTGTGTGTCTCTCTCTCTCTCTCTTTCTCCCTCTCTCTCTTTCTCTCCTTATCATTTTCGTTGATAATAAATATCTTTCATTTCCTTTCTCCCCCCTCCCCTCAATGTATCTCTCTTTCAATATCTATGTCTATCTACCTGTCTGTATCAGTCTATTCATATATTTTTAATTCTCATCTCTTTTATCAGTCAAGCAGATCATTACCCTTTCCATTATCTGTTACATCTTTCGTACTATCTATTGTTTGTTTGTTTGTTTCTTTTTTTAAATCTATTTGTCATTCTACAGTCTTTCTACTCACTTTAACTATCCCTCTTTCAATATTTCTTTATCTACCTGTCAGTATTTCAGTCTATTCATATCTCAGTTCTCATCTCTTTTATCAGTCAAACAGATCATTACTCAGTTATCTGTTACATATTTATATAATATCTTTCTCCTGTAGACAGATCTCTCTCTCTCTCTCTCTCTCTCTCTCTCTCTCTCTCTCTCTCTTTTTCTCCCAGTCCTGGTCTCTCTCTCTCTCTGTAGACAGCACACAATCTGTAACTGTAGCCGGTGGATCGATATTGGGGACGATAAGTGGCTCAGAGACCAGGCAGCTGTGGGAGGAGATGGTTGGCTGTAGATGACACCGTGTACGGTGGTCGGTCGGGGTGAGCTCCGCTCCGCCGGCTCTGTACACGGGGTGCCCCGTACGGCACGGCTGGGGTTAAGAAGGGTGACCCCCCTCAGCCCGGCTGTCTGATCTGCTCTCATCGAATTGATCGAGCTCGCAGCTCCTGGAGGGAGGGACGGGGGAAATTTAAGGTGGCAGCTCGGAGATCCCGGGGGGAATGTGTCAGCTGAAGAGCAGGGAGCGGCGGTGTGCGGAGCTGGACCGCCCCGACATATCCGAGCCCTCTGGGAGGTCTATACAGGGTGACCTATATAGGAGCCCCCCTCCTCTGTGTGCGGCTAATGCACGGGCCGGCCTCGGAGCCCCAGCACTCTGCATGTCATTCCAGGAGGAAGGATGATGTCATGGCCACAAGTTACAAGTGCTTGCCTGTCTCCCAGGAAGGTGGCAGACGTTGTCACTGGGCATCCTTAAACACGCCGCCTATAGCTATTCACGCTCCGATGGCCAATGCTGCAAATCATGCCGGAGCCACACAAGCCATTTACACCACGAGGCGGTCGATGGAGATTTAACTGCCTATTGTGGGAGGATAACCAGCACTAAATACTGGGGGGGAGCGGCCGATGGCCGATTAAGACACACATGAATGAGTGCTGTCACATGGAGCTATATGATGGATAACTGCTCTATGGAGGGGACCAGCCTGGATCACATCACCTCCAATAGAAAGAATAATGTCTAAAATCCATTCACATCAGGAGCTAGGACCTGTCTTATTATAGATGAATGGAAATGGGTCTAATTGTAAATAAAATATATATATATTTTTAAGGTGCTGTAGAACATTGCAATTCTCACTATGAAGCTCAACAAATTAATATATGAACATCTGACCTGTTCCAGTACTTAAGAAGTCATTATGAAAAAAGCAAAAAGCAGTCTTATATAGACCTGGGATATATGAGAAAGTGGTATACATGATTTTATATGTACCTGGATCCCTAGGAGCTGTCCTAATTAAACGGGATTATACACAGACCTAAATTATGAAGACCAATACAAAAGATACCCATAGAAAAAAATTATCAAGTTAGTCTATATACCTGAGGATGGTATGCAGGGTAAGAGCAGGCAATGAGAACGACCCCCCCCCCCCCCCAGAATATGTCATAATTAAGGTGATATGGATGGGAAAGCTTTGCATATATCCCTGCACTTGAGTACTGAGGACCTGTCATGATGACTAAATGAAATACCATTGTAGACATCCCTATACATGAATCTTGAGGACCTGTCATAATGGCACAAAGAATTAAAAAGCTTTATGTGTATCTTTATACCTGAACCCCCTAAAACTGAATCCGGAGGACCTACCATAATAACTACATGAAATAGTCTCCATATACCTGAATCCCGAGGACCTACCATAATAACTACATGAAATAATCTCCATATACCTGAATCCCGAGGACCTACCATAATAACTACATGAAATAATCTCCATATACCTGAATCCCGAGGACCTACCATAATAACTACATGAAATAGTCTCCATATACCTGAATCCCGAGGACCTACCATAATAACTACATGAAATAGTCTCCATATACCTGAATCCCGAGGACCTACCATAATAACTACATGAAATAGTCTCCATATACCTGAATCCCGAGGACCTACCATAATAACTACATGAAATAGTCTCCATATACCTGAATCCCGAGGACCTACCATAATAACTACATGAAATAGTCTCCATATACCTGAATCCCGAGGACCTACCACAATAACTACATGAAATAGTCTCCATATACCTGAATCCCGAGGACCTACCACAATAACTACATGAAATAGTCTCCATATACCTGAATCCTGGGAATTACCCATAATGACTAAATTAAATAATCTTTTAGACACCCCTACACCTGAATTTTAAGGTCCTACCACAATCACTACACAAAATAGTCTTATAGACACCCCTATAACTGAACATTGAGGACTTCTCATAATAAATAGATGAAATAGCCCCATATACCCGAATCTTGGGAATTAATCATAATTAGTAAAATAAATAGTCTTTTAGATACCCCTACACCTGAATTTTAAGGACCTACCACAATGAATACACAAAACAGTCTTATAGACACCCCTATAACTGAACATTGAGGACTTCTCATAATAAATACATGAAATAGCCCCATATACCTGAATCTTGGGAATTAATCATAATTAGTAAATTAAATAGTTTTCTAGACACCTCTACAACTGAATCTTGAGGACCTACCATAACTACATGGAACAGCTTTACTGGCACTCCTATAACTGAGTCCGAAGGACTTATCAGATTGAGTAAATGAAACATTTTTTTTACACCCCTCTACCTAAATCCTGAAACATCTTCATAGCCACTTCTATACCTGAACCCTGAGGACCTGTCATAATGATTTAATAAAGCATCTTGATGGACTTCTCTATACCTGAATCCTGAGGACTTATCTTATGGAACATTTTTTATAGACCCCCTATACCTGTGTCCTGAGGACTTATCACATCACAGGACATCTTCATAGACTCCTAAGTCGTAAGGACCTGTCATAGCGACCACAAGGAGGTAGCGTTGTACACCGGTCTGTACCTGAGTCATGAGTCTGTCGGCTGCTGTGTTCTCCTCGTCTTTAAAAATGATGTCAGAGTTATAATTGGGGGTGAGCTCCTTAAACCTCTCCGAGTTCCTAGTGATCTTTCCTTCATATCTTCCACTGGCCCCCAGGGTCTTCTCGGCGACGTTGGGGATGAACTGCTTGTAGGCTAGGGGGGTCAGCTTCTTGGGGGGCCTTCTCTTGCCAATGCCCCTGCCCGGTCCACAGGTGAAGGCAGGAGGAGGGAGCACCAGAGCGCTGGTCAGAACCCCCAGCAGAAGAATTCTCCTCAGTCCCAGCATCTCGTCCATGTGAATCCTCGGTCCCTTGTGCCAGCTCAGCTCAGTGACGATGTGTGCCTAGGCTCCCTGCCTCTCCTGCCTTCTAGGTCCTTGCGCGCTGCCTGTCTGCCAGATTATCCACCGATTCCCTCCAAGACAGGTGCTCACAGACTACTGAGCTACACATCGGACTTCACACGCCACACGCAGCCCGGCACAGGGGGTAGGAAAAGTGAAAAAAAAAAAAAAGGAAAAAAAAAAAAAAAAAAAAAAAAAGGTTTGATTGTAATGGGAGCAAGCAGGGCTGGGGAGCCTGTGAGAGCACACCGTCTTTACTGCTATATTATAGCTGCCAGGGCCGGGAGCTGATTGGCCAGGACGGGGGAGCTTCTTCGTCTAATATGTTAACCCTTCCAAATGAATCTTCAGCTCTCTTATCTGAAAGCTCACAAAATGGGCGTGTCCTCCCATGACTTCTTTGTAAAAGGTAAAAGTTTTTTTTTTTTTGGCAGGGTGACAAATGTTCAGCATTGACAGTGGAGGTTCCTATCAGGAGACTATCAGCTTGTACATCTACATTTCTAAGGAACCTCTCTGGTGTCATAAGATTATTGGCAACAATTCTTTCACTTTCAAAATAAAAGGATTTATCCAATTATTTATTCAACAATTTCCAAAGGAACAGGCTGCAAATCTGAAGCAAGTCACAACACAAAGTATTACATACTTTGCTGAGACATAGACAGGGGTATATATTGTGGGGGGGGGGGGGGGGGGGGGGGGGGGGGGTACTACAATATCGGAAACATCTGTCAGTCCTCTATATTGTCTATGTCTTTTTCACATTGGTAACTATTTATCTGTCTACTAATTATCTTTCTTTTTTTCTGTTTACTAGCTATCTCTATTTTTTTTCTTTCTTTCTTTTTTCTTTCTTTCTTTCTTTTTTCTTTCTTTTTTTTTCTTTCTTTCTTTCTTTCTTTCTTTCTTTCTTTCTTTCTTTCTTTCTTTCTTTCTTTCTTTCCTTTCTTTTCCTTCTTTCTCCCTCCCTCCCTCCCCCTCTTCTCACTGTATTTATCTCTATTTCAAATGTATGTCTATTTACATATATATATATATATATGTACATATATTGGTAATTCTCATCTCTTTCATCATTCAAACAGATCAGTACCCTTTCTATTATCTGTTACATTTTTCTTCTTCTATCTATCTATCTATCTATCTATCTATCTATCTATCTATCTATCTATCTATCTATCTTGTAGAGAGCTAGCCAGCAATTCCTCCTTTATCCGTCTTCTTCCTTTTCTTTTTCTTTTCTTTCTTTTTCTTTTTCTTTCTTTCTTTCTTTCTTTCTTTCTTTCTTTTTTCTTTCTTTCTTTCTTTCTTTCTTTCTTTCTTTCTTTCTTTCTTTCTTTCTTTTTCTTTTTTTCTCTTGTATCAGTCAAACATATCATTACTCTTTCTATTATTTGTTACATATTTTCTATCTATCTATCTATCTATCTATCTATCTATCTATCTATCTATCTATCTATCTATCTCTCCTTATCATTTTTCTTTGATAAGAAATATCTATCACTCCTCTTTATTATCTGTATGATCTACATCTATCTCTCATTGCTATCTATCTATCTATCTATCTATCTATCTATCTATCTATCTATCTATCTATCTATCTATCTATCTATCTATCTATCTATCTATCTATCTATCTCTGTCTATGTCTTGTAGACAGCCATTCCTCTTTGATATCTTTTTTTTTTCTTTGCTCAGTTGTACATTTTCTCTCCTACTTAAGTCACTTGTAAATTGGCTGTCCTGGGCCCCCTATTGTGAGTCATTAGGTTTAAGCTTAAACCCCGGTTAAAACATCCGCAAACATCAGCTCTTCGTCTTGATCCCTGGGTAATGAATGGAAAAAGGACACTCAATACATCAGAATGAATTGTCTTTGGTATCAGACAGCTGTCTGTCTGTCTGTTCTGAGCTCCCCAGACCTCTCTCTGCCCAGGTAAAACTAGTAGAGGTCCCCCAGGCTATATACAGTGTGGAGGGGGGATACTGCTCAATGTAATAGGGGGAGCGGTCCCTGGAACCAGTTTATTATTGTAATACACTTCCAGGCTTTTTTTAGCCATTTATTTAAACATTGTTTAAAATAAAAATAGTCACATACATTTTTATATATATTATATATATAAGAGAGAGAGATACAGAGATACTGTATATATACAAGGTCAATGAATGAATTATCAGGGGACCTTATTTGTGCAACCACAACATTCAGAGCAGAAGTGGCCCTGGACCTAGAGTGGATCTGTAGAGAATCTATAACCCAACAGCACACAGGTATCTTTCAGAGTAAACAGAGATGTGTTGCTGCAGGTAACAACTCCACCTTTACTGCAAGTTTCATCAAAAAGGTTTGCTGAGAATGGTGGGACTTGTTCTTCAGCTGCTGAAGCAAAATCAAAGGAAACTACCAAAGTTACATCATAGTTATCTATATACTAATATTACTTGCAATATTTCAGAGCTGTTAGACACCAATGACCCATTTATTATTATTATCTGCATGCACTACTTTTTATCAGTGCACCACAATGCAACCCACATTATTGTGTTCCTGTGTGCTGTGCTAAGATGCACATCGTAAGGTAGGTTCATTGGGGTGCCAAAGACTTTGGATGGTAATGCAGAGAACCAGCACACCTACCATGTATTGCTGTGTGCTGCTATGCTGTAAACAAAGCCTTAGACCCCATTCACACAATATGTGATGTAGGAGTATGCACAATATTGCATGCATTCCTGCAGTGCAAGAAAATGCATTTTGTCCTGGCAGACATGCTGCAGAGCCATACATTCTTTAATCCAAATCAGTCTGTATATACAGAGCAAAGCATGCTTGTTATACTCACTGTGGAACCTAAGGGGTTAATCCTCTGCATTGTGTAAAAACGCTGTTTGATCCGGACTTCTCTGATTCTCTCCTTCATCCATTGCCACCTCTTATTTCCTGATAACACATTTCATGTGGAGTCACTCTGCACATGCTCATTTTTTTTCCAATGCACATGGGAGAGTGCATGTGATCAGTACAGGGCCAATCAGCACTGTCCAGACAGAGGTCAGGGGTTCTGCATCCTCCTAGTGATTGAAAACTCTTCCTACAAGCTTTAACCAGCACTCTGCTGGACACTGATAGAAGTCACAAGACTGCTGGTGAGAAAATGTATTTAGCAGTTTATATTTACTAAAATAATTACACTTCCATGTTCCCTGTACTGTGGGAGACCAGATATAGCGAATGCAGGATCCTGGGTTTAGTAACACTATAAAGTAGATAATTTTGTTAACAGTCCTAAGACACACATACATAAAGAGTAATTGTAGGGCTGAAAATATTAGCTTCTCCTGGAGAAAATGCTGCTCCAAACTCTCTTCAGTAATAGTCATATGACATTCTTTATTTTGCCAGTTGGAGCACAAAGCAAAACCCTGGCACCTCCACTAATTGGGGAGCATGCAACTCACAACCCTGGTGCTTTAGGCACCCAGCACTGGCACATGAGAGTCTTCACCCTGCATAAGGTAAGGGAACAAAGTGAAGGTGAGGGATGAGAAGATGTCAAAAACCTATAGTGAAGTGAATGGCAGAGTTGTCCAGTGTGGTCTGTTTAAGGATGGCCTGGAGTCCTCAAGTTTGATGAACATAAAAAAAACTTTATTTTACCAAAACATGCACTTCGTGGTTATAACGGTCCACTTCTCCTCAGTTTACAGTGAAACACAAATGTTTGACATTTGTGAGCTTACTGGTCCATCCAGTAGTGTCCTACCCAGGGGTGGACTGACAACTCATGGGGCCCCCGGGCATTAGGGGATCATGGGGCCCCTGTGTCCTTGCCTAAACTCAAAAAAGCCTATGAAAAAGGTACCAGGGGCATCCTACTGACACCTTGACCTCGGGCAGTGTCCGAATTTCCAAATGGTAAGTCCGCCCCTGGTCCTACCAGTACAATACCCACCTGAGGATCCAGGATTTGGACTCCCGCAGTAGCAAAAGCAACTGATCTACCCCATGTAGAGACTAATCTTTTTTAACACCTGCATTCTTTGAAGGTTGCAAGGTTGCCCTCTCCCCTGTCTTATTTTTTTCTGGTGGATACCTTTGGCCTCTCTTTTTGGTATCCAATCTGCTTTTGAGTCCAACCCCTCAGACCTTTGTGGGCCACCACCTCCTGAACCCCAAAGTGAAGCTGGTGGGGCACACAGTAAAACAAATCTTTTGCTTCTCGTTGCATGGTTTCACTTTAAGCCTGACTGTGTGACTGAACTATATTGTAATACCCTATTGTAGCAGACCTGCCTTCACATTCACCATGACAGGCTCCATTGCGTGCTTTCTGCTCTTCTTTCTCTGAGGTGTCTCCTGAAAGTTACCTGGTAGCTTTTGTCAGCTATCGGCTGTTTATTCAAACACAGATAAAAGAAAAATAAAATCAGTTGGGGGAAAAAAGTTAGTGATTGTTTGATGTGGTCTGTGGTGTTGATGTAACAGATGATTGAATTGTGCCAAAGTATAAAAACCTGCTTGTAATGTTGTGGGTGAGCTTCAGTTCTTAACTCCCACCTTCCTGGTTCAAACACTCCTTTTTGATGAATATAGCAGACAGCTGAGTACCTGCTACAAGACAAAAGAAAAGCAGCAAAAGTCATGCAAAGGGCTCTTTTAAAATGAAACCCATAAGAAAAGTAGAGCTTCTACCTGCATTAACCATAGACCGGTATATAAACTCTTTATATACCTCGTTGGTGATTCATTAGCCCACAAGTGTCCAGGGGTAATAAGACACGGCCAACAAATTGGTTAAAACTTGTACATGTTGTTTGGATGTTGTCCCTATCTACCCAAACCTTGTAAATTGCTAGCAGTCCAACCCAAGAAAAATTGATAGTTGGAGTAGACTGGTCACAGAGGGGGGTCATCTATTAGTAACATGCTTTTGCTGAGTTTGTCT